ATATATATTTTTATATATCTATATGTGTATATAAAGGACTTTAGGCAAGGCATGCTGGTTCACACCTGTAATCCGAGCACTTTGGGAGGCTGAGGCGGGTAGAGCACTTGAGGTCACGAGTTCGAGACCAGCCTGGTCAACATGGCAAAACTTGTCTCTACTAAAATACAAAAAATTAGCTGGGTATGGTGGTGCATGGCTGTAACCCCAGCTACTCGGGAGCCTGAGGCAGGAGAACTGCTTGAACCCGGGAGGCAGAGGTTACAGTAAGCCGAGATTGTGCCACTGTACTCCAGCCTGGGAGATGAAGTGAGACTCCATCTCAAAAAGAAAAAACAAAATTAAAAAAAAAAAAGAACTTTAAAGATTTGAGCACTGGGATTCTATCATCAATAATTATCAAGAAGACAGTCTCATAAATATAATGGTTCCACCTCTTCTACCTCTTACCTGATTTAGCATGACATCATAGACATTACTTCCTTCACAATACACATGAGCCTAGAAAGAGAGAGAAAAAATCAACATTAGTATAGGTTCAGCCCTGAGATCCTAAATGAGGCTCTAAATTTTCTTATGGCTCAAGTTGTCATTCTACAGCAACATCAACATTCATCTTCCAGCAAAGAATTGCAAACCTATGTTCTACCAGTAACCTGGGTGTAACCTTACTATAAATGAAAACATGCTTCCTTTTTTTAACAATACAAAAGATTCTAACTGAGTTATACTGGGCATGGTGGTTCACGCCTGCAATCCCAGCATTCTGGGAGGCTGAGGTGGGCAGATCACTTGAGGTCAGGAGTTCGAGACGAGCTTGGCCAACATTGTCAAGCCCCGTCTGAACTAAAAATATAAAAATTAGCCCAGGCTGGGCGTGGTGGTGGGTACCTGTAATCACAGCTACTTGGGAGGCTGAGGCAAGAGAATTACTTGAACCCAGGAAGTGGAGGTTGCAGTGAGCTGAGATCACACCACTGTACTCCAGGCTGGGTGACAGAGTGAGACTCCATCTCAAAAAAAAAAAAAAAAAAAAAAAAAAGATTCTGAGTTAAAGAAAACTTACTCCAGAGGTAGCCTTCTTTTTTCCCCATTCATCAGTAACTCATACCATTCCAGGGTACGGTTTCTCATTAGAACAAGAAAACACTTTTCCTTTAACAATGATACCATTTTCTGGTTTAAAAAGAGAATGAGGTGTAGAAAGCTGATGGCAATCACAGAAGGTACGCATGTCATACATTTTGTGTATTTGTCTCCTTCCAAATCTCACACTGAATTATAATCCTCAGTACTGGAGGTGGGGCCTGGTGGGAAGTGATTCGATCATGAATGGTTTAGCACCACTCTCTTGCTGCTGTCCTCTTGATAGTGAATTCACACAACATTTGGTAGTTTAAAAGCATGTGACACCTCCCCCACTCTCTCTCTGTGACACCTCCTCCAATCTCTCTCTCTCCCGCCCTTGCTTTTGCCATGTGAAGTGCCTATTCCTGCTTCACCTTCTGCCATGAGTAAAAGCTTCCTAAGGTCTCTTGAGGAGCAAATACTGCTATGCTTCCTGTACAGCCTCCAGGAACCTCTTTTCTTATAAAGTACCTAGTCTCAGGTATTTCTTTATAGCAATGCAAGAATGGTCTAACACACCATGTTTAAAAACGCCCTGATTATTAACCCCAAGCCTTACCACTCCTCTCTCTTGCCATTAGAGAAAACTAATCACTCATCATATTTTGGAGAGGATTCCTGAAATGATACGAACAGCATCCCAGACAGGAGTCCTTATAACAAAGGATGCTCTCTGAGACATCCACGGACTAAAGATCGGTCCAGAGTGTCTTACCTTCCCCACCTTGGCTGTACATTCTGGGTCCACAGGAACTTTGCCCTTTAACAGCAAGGCCTTCACAGATTCTGAGGAAAGACAGATAGGTACTACTTTATGGGAATCAAAAACAGCTGTTGTGGTTAAACAGAAACTTGTGAGAATTAACTTTGTCCTCCCAACCAATCCTGGTCTTTCCTTAGGCCTCAGTCCATCTCAAACACATGAAAATGAAGATTCAAGGCAGTAGATTAGTGCTGTGGTATGCCCAAAGGATAGAGAAATTAATTCTATCCTGAAAGAAGGAAGAAATAAGAGTTGAAATAACAAGATATCATCCCCAGATCCACTCCTACCAGAAACCCTCTTGCTGGCCCATGACCTCCCTGGCGTACCATCTTGCTTGTCTTCTGTCCTGTCCTCATTAGAGTTTCCTCCAGTCACAGGCATCTTTTTCGACCCCTGTCTCTGGCATCTGCGAGTTTTCTTGGCAGGGGAAGAGTCTTCTGGAGCCGTGTTGCCATTATTAACTATTTTGCTTTCATTTAATGCTACAAAATTTGGAAATGAGCAAAGAATGAGTACACCTGAAAACGGGTAGATTTTAAGGATTGAAAAAAATCCTTTAAATAAATGGTTTAAGATCATTCTTTCTCTTTTCTTTCTTTTTTTTTTTTTCAAGGTGGAGTCTCACTCTGTCGCCCAGGCTGGAGTGCAGTGGTACGATTTCCGCTCACTGCAACCTCTGCCTCCTGGGTTCAAGTGATTCTCATGCCTCAGCCTCCCAAGTAGTTTGGATTACAGGCGTTCGCCGCCATGCCCAGCTAATTTTTGTATTTTTAGTAGAGACAGGGTTTCACTATGTTGGCCAGGCTGGTCTCAAACTTGTGACCTCAAGTGATCTGCCCTCCTCGGCCTCCCAAAGTGCGGGATTACAGGCCTGAGCCACCGCACCCCGCCGGTTTAAGATAATTTTCTAAGTTTACAAAGAGTCAATAAAAACTGTCACCACACTACCCTTGTGTAACAGTCTGTGTAATTCTTCCTAAATTGCTATTCTAGCCAAATGAAATAAAACAAAATAAAAGGGAGCCCCAGGAGTCTTGTAAGCTCATAGACTGAGGCCTGCTTATCTGTTTTGTTTACTTGTGTCCCAATGTCCCCCAAATACCCAACTCATACATGAGGCGGTATGGGATAAAGGTTAGTAAACTGCTCAAGGGTCTGTGCCTAATTTAGAGCCTAGCTCTGCTGCTTTTATCTGTGGAAACTTGGAGAAGTGTTTGATCTCTTCCTACTTCACTTGCTCCAATATTAGAACATTGTACAATACTGTACTTCTAGAGAAGTACACTAGTACTTAATTTATAGGGTGGACCTATGCACTTAAGAACATTATACACATAATACCGTATCTCAATAGGTCTAGACTCGCATTTTACCCTCTGGAACTGGGCTCCATCTTAGAATGGATGGCATAAGCAGTGAATCATAGTTCACCATTTTCAGTGCTTATCCTTTCTTGTGTATAAAATAATGGTGTGCCTCACAATTACTTTTTGTAAATCGTATGACATTAGGTATTAACAACAGTACTGGCATATTAGTTGTTACAGCTCTGCAAGGCTTTATGCACAATTATGTCATCCCCAAAGCTCTGAAAACCTAAATTTACAAAATTTAGCGCCCAAACTGGTTTGGTAGCCAAGTGCAGGTTATGGGGAGGTGGAAGATGAAGGGGGTCACAGTAGGTGGCATCGTTCCTTTTCTGACTCCTCGCTTCCGCATTCCCTCCCCCGATACTGAGCTCCGAACCTCTCGCTCTGCCTCCGCGGGTGCTCCGTCGTCGCCGCGCCGCCATGGAATTCGAACGCTGACGTCATCAACCCGCTCCAAGGAATCGCGGGCCCAGGGTCACTACGC